TCAAAGAAAAACAATTTCTCTGCCACTGAAAGCCTAACTTTGTGGAAATTTAGCATAATGATTTTCATTTAAAGAGTAAAATTCAGGCACAGGGCAAAGAGGAACATTTTTACAGCAAAATCTCACCTTTTTTATTTTAACGCTTTCTGTGCAAAATAAGAGCCTAAGGTAACTCTTAGAACAAGTACTGTACAAGTCTGTTACTCATGTGTATAGTTAAATCTGGCATATTTAACCTGAAAGGAATGATTCGATTTCTCCAGTTAATCATAAAACAGTCAAAAAGGGTTCTGTCGGCTTTAGGGTCACCAATCACTTACATGTTTTGTCTACAGAAGGGCTCTTTTTTTTTTCCAGCTCCCAAATGCACTCTTCTCAGATATCACACGTCCATCCCCCAAAACACCAAAGTCTGATGACGTGCGTAAAGGATTTCTTTTGTACCTCATGCCACAACGCTAGCCAGTCCATTGACAAAAACGTGCAGCCAGCCCTGTGCAATAAAGAAACGTCAATTGGATGTCAAAAGACAGGTGGAGATGTGCTCAGACAACAGAGGGGAGGCAGGTGTTTGCAGGCAGGGCTCTCTGTAGTCCAGCCCAGCTGCAGATCTGCACTGGTAGTCTAGTAGAAGCTACCAGAATTTCAATTTAAAACCACCAAATCCATGCATTCTAAACTAGAGGACCTCAATCATACAGGATGTATCAGTATTGCTACAGTACATTACTGTAGTGCTGCGATCATGTTTCATACGAGTACCATGTCTGGCTGCTGTACTGCACATGTTCTTTCACAATAAGCCACAATATTGCAGGACTTTTTTTACATTTTCGTCGCCTTCTTTATGGGTGGTATGTTTTATACTTTCTGAGTTTATAAAAAAAAATTCTCAAATTCAAGATTTCCGACAGCAGTCTTAATTTTGATATTTTAGAAACGCATTTACAAGAAACAGAAAAAAAACAGCTATAGTAACGCCGCCCCAAACACCTTTAATCAAAGGTCACATCGCAGTTCTTAGAGGCATCAAACACAGCAGTGGAAAGCACCCCCATGTTCACAGAATCAGTCATGAACAGAACCTGAGTGTTCGAATGGGGCACACTGCATGAATGAAATTGTGTCAATGGGGAATCCCAGAAAACACAACTTGAAAAAAAAAAAGCTTACAAAGACTAAGCAGAAAAAAAAACAGATTAAGCATAAAGACTGAAATAAAACAGCAGTCACAAACAAAAGGAGGTCGCTCTATCTAGCCCAAATGAATGGGTAATGCTATAATGGCTGTATCCTAGCAGCTCTGAATAAGCAGGCTCCCTATGGGGATCCAGGTGAGCAGAAATCAGTCATGCGTGCCATGAAAGCAGTGTGCAAGCAGCTGATGTTGTAAAAGGGGGAATTTTTGTAAAAAGGAGAAGAGTTCCCATCCAAATCCAGTTGTCCAAAACCTCTTACTTGTAATATGGGTGTGAAAGATTGAAATCTGTATACAGCATTGAACTAATGAAGGATTACAAATGAAGAGGCCACTGGGCTCCTCTAACTTGTTTGGTAGTTAACAGCTGATCTATCTGAGGGTTTTATCCAGCCGTTTCATATGAAAAAGAGAATCGGCTTGAACATGGATGGGCAGCTTGTTTCAGACTCCCACAATCCTCTGTGTTGATAGCAACTGTACTTGATCCCCTACAAGGACAGGTTTTAAATTATTATTCCTCAGCAGTAATTTGGAAAGATCAATGATCTTGTTAAAGTTAAGCAACACTGCGTCAGGCTTTGTTTCATCATTTTTATTTTCCTGGGGGAAAAAAACATTTAATGCAAAATAAGGCAAAGAAGCCTTAAGTGCCACACAAAGCAGAGAGGTTTTGCCATTATTTTGTATTCTAGAGGGATTTGTTCATCATCAGTACTATGTTTTATTAGGGGGAACATACTGGACACTGTACTACACAATACCACCATTATCCAAGCTTGGATTCAAGATTTATGACCAGAGAACAGCATCACACAAGACACAGAGATTCACAAGAACAAATTAAAGTCTGCAGCTGCTTAAATTATACGAAACTTCCCCTGATCACTTCCTTCCTCTTAGATACAAGAAGTAAGTTTTGAAATCACGCTTTTAATGCAACAGTGCGTCACCATGGTCAACAACCATGATGGCCAGAGAATGAATGAGGTATTAAGACATCTTGCAAGGAGAACAGCAGTACACCAGATTCAGTGTTGCAAGTGACTGCAAAGAAAGAATACACCTCTTTAGTCTAGAGTACAGTAATTGCAGCAAAATGCAGGTGAAGTAGACCTTTGAATGCCAGGCCAAACACTTTCCCTGTCCACAACATCCATACTCTTTCACTTCTATTGGAAAGGGTAGTTATACTGCTGCTTCAGCTACTTCAGTGTGTGCATGACGCGGTACGTTTCAGAATTCATTCTGTAAAGCCAGCTCTCGATAACAGGCCAAATACAGCGAGTGCTGAACTCCACGGGTCCTGGGGGTTACCTGACATCCACTGGGACATTTCCAAAGCTCTTAGCCTCAGAGAAAAACATGCATGAATGTTCACCCAGCAACAGCCTGCTGCAAATCTAATCAAAGAAAAAAAAATGTTTAATCTGCATTGAGAAATTAGCGGTTTATTTGGATTTTTAAAAGGGGAACAAGCGATCTACTGCTGCACACTTTGTAAGAGCTGTTTCCAAAGGGGCAGCAACTGTGCATGTGTCCATATAGGTCGGCACTATCCCGGTCACTTCACAGGGCCTGGTCTGCAGGGCAGAACAGCAAGAAGGGCACCACTCCTCAAACCTCCAACACAGCATGGGAGTGATACTGCAAACATGTGGAAAAGGGTTTTGCGGTCAGACAGGACAAGACTGAAATATTTTTGTCTAAATTCCAAGCACCACGTCTGGCACAAACCCAGAACAATGCATCACCCAGTAAACTCCATTCAAGCAGCCAACCAAAAGCTTGACAGTATTAAGTTATAGTCCAGCTTCTCATCAGGAAGGAAGGGACTGGGAAGCTTGTCTAGACTGAGGGGAAAACGGATGGAGCAAAACATGGGAAAACCCACTTCAGTCTGCTAGAGAAAACAACTGGTACCAAAATTCCTAAGCAACCTGTCAGAGCCTGAGCAGGTTTGGACAAAACTTTTAATTCAACAAAATGGAACACGTTAGGAAAGGGTATATATGTGTATAAGGCATTGTAAATATACAGTAGTATTTAATTGTTTTTATATTGATATAGAAGCAATGTAGACCATATACCATCACCATCAATTTTCAAATCTGCATGTTTTTAGAATGGATCAGGACAGACCTGCAGGATCTGGATGTTCCACAAGTCATCTCACCTCGCCTGAACCTAAATATAGACACTGAATCAAGCGGTGCTAATCGCGACGCATCAAAAACGGCGCAGTTAATTTTGCATACTGCATGTTGCATTTAAGCTGTGAGTCAACCAGCTTCAGGAGCACAGGCTTAAGAGTCCTGTACCGCAATATAACAAGCTGGGTCACTTTGACTTGTAGTCTTTCACACCTGCAGCGGAATCTGATAAAAGCTGCTGTACTCACGTACACTTTTAAGTGTAAATGTATGCGAACCTTGTACAGGCAGGCCGGGTGCTGCCCGCTTACATTTTAAAGTCATACCGATAGTGTGAATCTGTAACAGCAGAAAATCAGAAGTTTGGAGCCGGATTTCTTAACAGTAAGCTTGCCCCCGTCTCCTTGCGTCTTACAATTTACAACACGTGTTTCAAGCCCGCACGAAGCAGCGCCTCAGATTCAGTCAAATTGGGTACCGCGACGGGACCTTCTTGATTCCCGTTCATGTACCTTTTTGGCCGTCTTGCGCTCTTACTCCTATGGCTGAAGGTACTTGTTTTGAGCAGCACTAAAGCGATATCTCAACGCACGCCGTTTCGGTACTACAAAACACGTTCTTCTCACTACACGCACCCATGAAGCTGCAGAGAAAGGCGGGGCCCCCGACCCCCAGACGCGCTCTCCTCCCTCTCCCAGCAGGAGCGAGGAGCCCGGGGCCGTGCAGAGGTGGCCGAAGTGGAAAGAAATCATTGCCTGTTCCGCCGAGAACCAGCCCTTCATCTCGCCGTCGGAGCGAGTTGCAACCCCCTGCTTTCGTTTTAAAAGTCGAGGCAAGGGATTTTATAAAGAAAAAGAGGGGCGGAGCGGGGGGGTGTGAGGAGCTGAGGCGCTGCGTAATTGAGGCCTCCGCGTTTAAACCAGAAGACGCAAGGCTTTGCACTGGCGTTTGACGCGGCCGTAAGAGCAGCCGGCGCACTGCGAAGCGGCTTCATGCTCGGCGTGTATAATCGTCAAACCGCAGTGCACTTACTGCAGCTTCTCCCTAGATACAGTACAGCAGGTGCTACATTTAGAACACACCCACATATTTCGCTCCGCAAAGCATCAGGCAAAACGAAACTGCGTGACTCGGCAGTCTGGCCAATTCAGCGCGATCTGTTTCTTCTATGAAATAGATGGAGAGGAACAGGAAGCCCAACTTACTATCTCACTGCCTCCACCACACACTTCCTCTTACGATAAATCTCTTTGAATCAACCAGCAGACCAACAGACGTTTTTTTTTTTTAAACAAAAGTTTAAATTTAAAGTCGGCCTGCCTGTAAATGCACGCTGTCGGTATCTTTTTACGAGATTAGCAGGACACAGCCACAGCTAAATCTTCATACCATGGCGAATTCCAGTCCATTTATGTGTAATAAAGATACTTTCTGTTACCCCGTGGCTCGTTTGACTTCATTTGCAAGTATATTATATATAAAAGAGACCCATTTAATTTCTTAAATTTATGACAACGTTTTTGAGTCTGCCAAATGAAGTCATAGCTTCCAAACATGAAACACAAGTTGAAAGCGAATTAATACGAGCGCTTTCTTTTCTAAAAAAAAAAAGTTTTTTTTCCAAATTGACTAGAAACAGTTCTACTTACCAGGCATTTGCTTGCTGTTCGTAAGTTTACACCCTTCATACCGGTGGGTAAGCTCTGGTTGTGGTAACAGTAGTTGGATCTGATTTTATAGTGCAGAGCAGTGTTGAATAAACTCGAGAGGAAATGGCATGAACGCATACACACTGCTCTAACAGACTCTCGGCGTGCACATTTTAGTGGTTTTGTGAAGCTTACTGTCAGGAGGTGTTTTTCTCGCTGGTCATTCCCTCGGAGTTCTGCTTTCTCTAAGCACTAGTCATTCACAGCCTTCAATGGTATAACCACGACTTTCCCCTTAAGGGTTTGCGCTAAGCGGTCACACCCACCCAAAGCAGAGAGCACAGGCAGGGCTCCTGTAACTGCCGCGCTCCGAAAGCGCAGCGGCGCCCTTGAAAAGCTATCACCTCACGCTTTCGTGCTTTGTTCCAGACAGACAGGTTCGCAAAAGGTGCTTAAATGCTCGTGTGACGATTATATGACCAGCAACCAGTTGCCAATTCCTCGGTAGGAAGAAAAAGACTGAAAACGAAGGATGAGCCTATTTAAAAAGAAATGGGGACTGCCGCGGAGACTGCGTGCCGCGTAGGAATCTGCAAACTTTTTAAAACTTTTTTCAGACGGCGTTGTCAGCTCTTGGAAAAAATGTAACCATGTCACTGTAGGAAGGAAAAACTTACATCAGTCTTCCTTGCTTAGAATCATGTGATCGCCCGCAGTGCACATTTTTCCATTAAATTAATCATCTCTGCTAACATCAGTGCTGAGTACTGCAAAATACTGTACTGCAGGTATCGCTGAGCCACCAGAGACTGTGAGACAGGTAATGCAGTTCGGCGCAGTCTAAAACTGCATGCAGCCTTTTTTGGTTTGACTACATAGACTAAATAATAAGAAATGCCGTTTGGTTTATGAGCCCTTCTGAACAAGCCCAATACACGATAGCAAACTAGATGCAAAAGAAGCAAAAAAAGTGAAGTAAAAGAGAAAAACTGAATTGGTCAAACAAGAGCTCGAAGTGAAATACACATGAAAAGCTCTTGTGTAAAGATAGGTGTTACAGCGAGTTCAAAAATGTCTTCAGTCACCGAGTCTCTGTTTGGGCGATAAGGTCCTGGACTTATGGAGCTGGACTACACGCAATAAATAACCCCTGAACAGAACCCTGGCTGCACCACTCAAAGTCTTATATGTGTTATAATAATAATACAATTTATTTTATATAGCGCATAAAAAGGCGGCTTCTCAAAGTGTTTTACAGAATGACAACAACAATAAATAAGAAGAATACACAAGATAAAACACAATTACAACACACAGAGGAGACTGTGGATGGTGGAACTAAGTAAAATAGGAGCAGAGGGGTGAAGAATGGAACCAGTTCAGTAAAGGCTCTTCTAAAGAAGAAGGTTTTGAGTCTGGATTTGAAGGAGTTTAGAGAGGGTGACTCTCTGAGATCCTTGGGGAGAGAGTTCCAGAGCTTGGGGGCATAAGAGGAGAAGGGTCTGTCACCCCTAGAGTGTAGACGGGCTTGGGGGACAGTTGGGAGACCAGAATTAGAAGACCAAAGGTTGTGAGGTGGGAAGTAGGGTGATAATACTTCAGACAGGTACTGAGGTGCCAAGCCATGCAGAGCCTGATAGGTGAGCATGAACATTTTAAAGTCCACACAGAATGTGTCAGGAAGCCAGTGCAAGGACTCCAGGATAGGAGTAATGTGAACACTTGCACTAGACCTGGTCAGGATTCTCGCTGCTGAAATTTGGACATACTGCAGTTTTTTTCAATGTAGATTTGGATACCCCAGGTCTTCAGGAGAAACATATAAATAGTCCTCTATGGTAGGTAGGTGGGGTCCCCTTTTCAGGCCATAAAGGCCCATGGGGGGAATGGGGCCACCAGTTTTCTCAACCATCTGACACTGGAGGTGGAGGTGATGTGGTCAGCATCATGCTCCAGCTGGCCTATGACCCCCAGAAGGATTAACTACCCCTGTACTCATTTGGACAGCAGGCTGAGTGGACCTGGGAGCCGTCTGGAAGGAATTAGAGAAAGCTACATGTACTGTAAATGTTGTGTAACACGTTGAATAAAGTGGAGTGATATCATACTGTAGACAGATCAGCCAAGATATCTGAACCGGCTTCTGAGAGTCAAAGAGGTGCCAAGCCAATGAAGAAGAGCCCTGGTGTTCCCTAAATAACATCCATGTGATCCAGCAGGATGCTGTGATCGACAGTATCTATCCAGAAGGAGAACATGGAGTGTCTTAGAGCCAGAAACCATCAGGACATCATTATCTGCCTGAACAAGGGTCGCTTTAGTGCCATGTTTCTGTCAAAACCTTGCTGGAAAAGGCTCAATGGTGATAGACCATAACTGAGATACCGCTGTCCATTCCAGGATTTGTGCAAACTGACTTGGGAGTCCTTCTCAGATTTTCTTTTGACCAGATTGCAGGGAGCCACTGATGAGGTTAGTTTACTGAAGCTGTTACAGCTTCCACTTCAGTTTCAGGCAAGATGGAATTAGTTTGTCAAGACAGAACAGGACTTCCCAACAAAGCCAGCCAGCAGCCATGTTGCCCTGCAACTCACAGCTGGCAGCCCACTGAAGCTCAGCAGGTGTGAGCCTGGTCAGTACCTGGATTGGAGACCTCCTGGGAAAAACTAAGATTGCTGCTGGAAGAGGTGTTAGTTGGGCCAGTAGGGGGTGCTCACTCTATGGTCTCTGTGGGTGCTTATGCCCCAGTATGGTGATGGGGAAACTATACTGTAAAAAGCTGCTGTCCTTCAGATGAGACTTAAAACTGAGGTTCTGATTTTCTGTGGTCATTAAAACCACAGGGAACTGTAACCACTGTGTCCTGGCCAAATTTCCCCCTGGCCTTTACCAATCATGGCCTCCTAATAATCCCCATCTCTGAACTGGCTTCACCACTCTGCTCTCCTCCCCACTGAGAGCTGGTCTGTGGTCTGTGAGTGTACTGGCACACTATGCCTGCTGTCACATCTTCCAGGTGGTGTTGGAGGGGAGTCCCAATTATCTGTAGAGCAGTTTGAGTGGAGTGGCCAGAAAAGTGCTATATAAGTGCAAGCAATTATTATTAAAACAGACAGCGCTGAGCTACTGAAGTAAAGAGCATTTATCTCCTTTCAAGGTAGCAATATGTGTCCTTTAGTACATGAACATCTTTGAGGATTTATAGAGGCGATGCAAAGGTCTAGTAATGATGTCACTGTTCGCCTTCCAAGCCCTGTTTACATTTAGTGTAATATCGAGTGTGCAAAACAAGGTCTGAGTGGGCGCTTTGGAGCATCTGATGCAGCAGCACAATGCCTGCGTGGAAGAAAATCAGTCATGCCAGAAAACAATGTTCAAAATCAGCCAGATGGTTCAATACAATTGAAAGTAAGCCTGTATGGTGATTAACTGCATCACTGTGATTCATATTGCATTTCCACATCCATAGTACAATGTCTAGGTATGACTAGAAATACCTACAAAAAACAAAGATGCAATTTGCTCATGTACAGTACATCTTCCCAGGCACTTATTTGCCTTGGCTTCAACCTTTTTTTATTATTCAAATATACAAATATACAACATTTTACCTTGAGTAGCTAGGTCCAAAAAGCTCCATGCTGTTAACAGTGAATGGCCTAGGATGTCTAAGGGATTTATAAAACATAGGTCTTGTTTAAATCATTGGTTATAATTCTTTGATCAAGCAAAGGATGTGGTGCATTCAGACATTCAGGAGGCTTTTGATAAAGGTTTTCATAAAAGATTACTTATAAATTACAGGTGTTAGGCACCTGAGCTCAATGAACTAGTAGCCTTACATTTGTAGCCTTACTTATATTCAGTATGGTCACACAACATCAGCTTCACTATTGTTAAAAAGATTCAAATTTGAGTTCCAAAATGTGTAAACTTAACACTGAAACTGGGAAACAGTCATCAGATCTAAAAGCTGGCAAGTATTGATATTATTTTTCAATTTTGGGGGCTATATTAGCAGATACCCTTAGACCAGTACTGTGACTGTTCACTGTTCCAGTTCAGTGACATGCCATTCTGTTGCAGAGCCTTGAAGTGAAGTCCTGATGCACACTATTTTGTGGGCCATGGTGCCAAGCACAATGTTGAAACCTTTGTTGCACATCCCAATCATTTCATATTGAATACAGGTATTTTCCCTCATTATTATTTCTGGCTAGCAAGTTAAAAATGGAACTTTTTACCCTCTGAGCTTTCCTTCTAACAAAATGTGTTTGAGGACAAGGTAGAATTCATATGTTTTTTTCAGAGTAATGATTCATAAGCCTCATCGGATCCCCTAACATTTTAGTATTTTGTGGGAGGTACAAACTTCTAAAAAGTATTTTAAGTGTATATAGTCAGTATAAGAACACATAAAGCTCAGGTGCATGTTATTTTGTGAGCCAGGCATATTTAGTAAAAACTAAATATGTGCTGATCCTAACAAATAAAACTGCACTTCACGTTAATGTGTTTGTCACTACAAAAAACATCGTCTTTGAAATAGTGTGGTTAGTTCCTGTCATTTATGATAATAATCACCACCACACCACCGACCTACCCATTCAGACAAGCTAAGCTGACATAATCAGGGAGGCGAGATAAAAAGGTTTTCAGAGAATGAAACTTCCACACCTACAAAACAGTTAGAAAAGAGAGGCAGAAGGGAAGTAAACAAACTGAAAGATTTCACATTCCTTGCCCACTTGCACTACATATTGTGTTATTCACAGGGTTTGTGCACTGCAGGGTCCTGGACAACTTTAACACACTAATAATAAAATTAAGACATCAGACATTTGAACTGAAAGTTCAGTTTTCTAGTACATCTATATTATGCGACATAGGTTTGTCTGAACACAACAGAATAGTCATTTTAGGACTGAAACACTGAACTGCACTGAAACACAAATACAAAAAAAAAATCAATAGATTCTGCCTTCCTTGGCCAATTGCAAAATTCTTGCTTTTTTATGTGAACAACACATCTGGCTTTCTGAGCAATTACTCTGGAATGTGTTTAGTCTGGAAATAATTTGCTCAGGATTGCAGCCTGCATCTGTAGGTTACATTTTTGAAAAAAGTATATTGGGGAGGGATTTTAGACTTATGTTTCTTTTGTGAGGAAAACACACAGAAAGCCAATAATTTCACACTTCGCTTAAAGACCAGCTTTCTGTTCATTTGTCAAGTTTGAATGCCATGGTTGAATATATTCCTATTCTAAACACATTCATCACATTCTCTCCTCCCCACTGATAGCTGATGTGTGGTGAGTGTTCTGGCGCACTATGGCTGCCGTCGCATCATCCAGGTGGGGCTGCACATTGGTGGTGGTGGAGGGGAGTCCCCATTACCTGTAAAGCGCTTTGAGTGGAGTGTCCAGAAAAGCGCTATATAAGTGTAAGCAATTATTATTATCATGAAATGCTCCGTACTGCTTAAGAGCATAACAGAGGTTACAAACAAGATGAGGCCATTTGACCCAACTACCAACATTTGGTATATAGTAGTTAACTGATTGCACAACCTAATCCAGCTTCTTGAAAGAAGCCAGGATATTGGCGTCATCCACATGGCTAAGCAGCTTGTTGCAGATTCCCACAACCCAAGATGCTGCTGAACAGAAGGCACCTCAGATGCTGGAGCAGCTGCCTAAACACTACAGGGATGATGCAGGACTCACTTGGGGCATCTCCTTCAACTGCTTCCAAATCACCTATCCTGTGCCCTCTTTCCAGTGGGAAACATCAAGGTCTAGAAAACAAAGCTCTTCTGCAAATGCTTGAAAGCAGGTCAGCTTGTCAAATGGGGCAGAGATGATGAGAGGAGTGCACTTTCTTAATGCCTTCGCAGCAAGAGGAGCATCCAACTCTACTCGTCTTTACCCTGCAAACGAAAGCTTTGAACTTGACCGGAGATGTGGAATTGCCACGAATACTGTGTGACCAATACTTCCGTTAGTCTAGGCCTGCTTACATCTGCAGAACATCAGCTCAGCAAGGCAGCCCATGAAAAGGACTGGAAACAACAGGAAAGAGCATTCATCTCTCCTCCTATCAGCTGTATTCACAAAAGAGATAATCCTGTAATTAAGGGTTTGGTACGACATCCAAACAGGATGCTCAGAAGAACTGCCACGTGTAGTGCTACAAAGAAAAGGTTAAGGCCGCAACCCCATCCACTACCAGCCCTTTGCTTCATCCTGAGCTGCTACAGTGTCTTATTAACTATTTTAAGATCTCCTACCACATCCTCTGTGGTCGGGCTCCCAAGCGAGAGAGGAACAATAAGGACTTCCTGAATTAAGTTCTGACATTTCCCAACCCCGCTGTCACCAGGGCCGGCAGCACGCTCGGAGCACAGTGGCAAAAGCAGGTCAGCGGCGCTTAACTTAATATCAGACAGGAAGTCCTGGGAAAAGGAATCCGTGAAATGATTCAATTCGAAAGAAGGGAAGCTGAGAAATTATGATAAATTGAGTTCTTGTGAAACAGGATGCGGGCAGGATAATTGTGTTACTGAAAACGTTATTTTCTTGCGAAGCAAACAGACCCCAACCCCTCCTCCCTTCCCTCATGAAACCGATGGGCCTAGAGAAGCGCTGAAGGTTCGAGGGCAGCGTGGCATGTGACATCTCCAGAATTTCAAGTCGCCAGTAACTCTTCAGCGCAGAAGTGAAGCTGACATTTCTCTTCCACTAATCACTATCAACAGCTCCGCTTCAGAAATACTGAACTGTAATAAAACACATCCTAAACTCTGGTCACACTATTCAAGGCAGAGAAGATGTTCAGAGTCAGGCAAGGCCCAGTATTCTTTGCAGCAAAGCAATACCTGTAGGTTAAGTAATAATAAATGATAATATGCTTTATTTTATATAGCACCTTTAAAATTGGTTTCTCAAATCTCTTTAAAGACAAAAAACACAGAAGGAGAGGAGATAGCAGAATTAACACGATTACAACCAGGTTTTGAATGGAGTAGGAGTGTAAAGGGGCAGAACCAATTAAATAAAAGTACTTCAAAAGAGGAAGGGTTTGAATCTTGATTTGAAAGTGCACAGGGAAGATGTCTCTCTGATATCATTAGGGATAGAATTCCAGAGGTATGGGACATAGCAGGAGAAGGCCCTGTCACCCACCGAGTGGGCTTGGGGGACAGACAGGAGACCAGAGGCAGATGGACAAAGGCTGCAAATCAACACGAAACCCGTTGGGAAGCCAGTGCAAAGACGCCAGGGTAGGAGTAATGTGATCACTTGCACTAGACCTGGTCAGGGTTGTGGCTCCCGAATTCTGCACATACAGAAGTGTGTTCAAAATGAAATCAGAACAGGCCTCTTTCTTTTAAGTGCTGGCAGAACAGACCTGTTTCTTCTTTAAATGGAACAGTATGTTAAGGAAAAGAGTTTTGGCGGTTCTTATCTGTCTCGTTTTTATTGTATTCACAGATTCCCACAAGACTCCACATCCTGTTGTCCATCCACTGGGAACACGTGTACAAAAAGGAAACACAAAATTCATGCTGCAGGTAAGAACTTCTCTCCTCAAAGGCCTTGGTCATATTTATGTCATTTCTCCGGTTTTCTTTGCCTCTTTAATTCCCGTATCTATTCATGCACAAATGTCAGCATGTAGCTGAAGTGCTCTTTTTTGGGAAAGTATTAAGCAAGATATAAAATCAAACTGGTTGCCATGGTAGCAAAAATCAATACTATATCTTTCCCATTTAAGAATTAGAATAGCACAAATCTTTGGATACATAAACTTTTGAATTACCTTTAAATACTTTGCATTTAAGTTTATGACACATGGGTGACAAGTTTTCTCAGAAGTAGACCCTTCAATGATAATTCTTAATGTTAAGCCAAAAGTCTGAGCGACAAGCTCTAAAAACAGCTTTAATTAATTTAATTGAAGCTGTTTTTAGAGCTTAGATCCTGGATTTCAGAGGAATCATCCAGGTCCCAGCAAATCATTCTGTGAAAGAATAAAGAAAAAAACGAGCAACAAGTGGCACAACAGAAAAAATGCTTGATGTTTCTCTTCCAAGTTGTTTTGTCACTGACGCAAACCAAGCAATGTGCAGACACACAGGGTAAATAAATAACAAAAGCACTAAGTTTAATGTGTGCATTTTTTAATTCATCCCATTGTATCCACAGAGGCAAAAAAAAACACTTTCACATCCAAAGTATTCAAACTTTATGTACAACATTGTAAGAAACGATACTGCAATAATATTCCAGGCTTATGGAACGGAATATTCAATCAGCCTTATGCATTTATCACAACTGCCAAGTGTTATGTGCTAAAAAAGGTGCCGCCACTTTAGAAAGCTGGAAAGCAGCTCATGATGTTACTGAAGGGGCGGCTGGTGGTTTTCAAGAGCAGTGGGGTCAGACGAAGGAGAGCACGCACAGGAACTCCCAGCCGAGTGAACTTCAGAAGGAGGTCAGCAAACGATGCAGCACCTAGGAACACAGAGAACAGCCGCTACTACAGATCCCCGTTTTGTGGACTTGAGAACATGAAGCTTGCAAACGAGAGGAGGCACTGAACTCATCACACACAATCTGGCAACAGCTAATCGTGTATCGTAACAGGATGTGTCCATGTTAGAAGATTTACTGTTTATCCACTCTCACTTCTGCATTCGTTAATTTAGAAAACACAGGAACGCCTTAAGCAGCCCATTTTTTCCATCAATACTCTTTTCTGAGAGCACTGAACAAAATTACAGAAGAGACTTCTCAACAGCTTTCAAAAATAGACTTGACTGAGGCACGCAGGTTCTGAAAGAGGTTTTTGAGCTTCGCCGTACAATCCAGTAAGATGAAAGCAGGAGACACTCCAGCCAGAACTACAGAGGACTTGCTCAAATATTATATTGAGTACCCCGTTGTTTGACCGTCTACCAGAAAATTGACTCCTCAGAAATGAGATACTGTATGAAGGCAGTTCCTAAATAGGAAAAAATAACTCATTTAGATAAAAAAGTACTATGAGACATGTGCCCACACAGGACTTGAGGAAAGGCTGAATACTTGCTTGGCTATCACAGCAAATATAGAATGATCTGTTCGGGGGGGTGTAGACAATATCGGACAGATTGTAGCTCTGAATACGGAAATGATCGTGTGGGATTCCAGCCAGAGACGGCCCCACCCGGAGCAGCGCAGGCTCCAGGTCTCCCATTTTGCCAACTACAAGAGTCCGTGTCTACACAGCCCCAGCAGTAGACCCTGATAACGAGAGTCCTGCACGAGGGATTACCTTCAAGCTCCACGTCTGCCATCTTAGCAGGGGTGGGTATCGAGTGGTACACCAGAAAGCAGGCAAGCATGTTGGTTTCTGACTCGCCGTGAGCCTGGCCACCCATGTAGGAGTGGAGGACATCGCTGTTGGCTGTGGGTGAAATCCAATCAGTAAACTCTAATAAAAGCCCGAGGCTTTCACAATTGTGGAGCATTTCCTAGGTCATAGGGGTTGCTTCACACTAATAAGGATGCATGGTAAAAATGTTTAAAGGTACAAGGGACATTTGATTTATGACACGATCAATAATCATTTTGGTAGGGCAAAATTAGCTGACCAGTGAGGTCCTGCCACATTTTATTGCAGTTCACAACGGGCTTAACATTTAAACTCTCATGCTATGTCCAATGCATGTCCAACATATTGAATTTTTTAAAATAATTCCACCAGCACTACTAAAAACCCAACATTTATTTATGCCCTTGGTGAACTGGAAGTATTTTTTTTACAATTAAAATTCAGGCGTAAGATCAGAAGTTGCTGACAAAAATGTACGACAGTAAAACACTTGTGTGAATTTCAATACTGCATGTATAAAAGCACGTGTCAAAAATATGTATCCATTTCTAAATGCTAGATGTTCAAATTTATTCACACCCTGGAAATTAGTATTTGTGAGTATTTTTGGCTTTGATAACCTTGAAAAAGTAGCCTTTGAAGCCTTTTAAGCTTCCTTAGTTGTAAATGCAGAGGATGCATTTCTATTCTTCACAGAAGGGATGACCTTCTTTTTCCAAACGAGCTTCACCTTTCTGTGTGAGTCATGGTCCTACTGAAACTGTCCAAAAACTCAAATGTTTCATACAACAATATCACCTGGTCCCATTTGACCTGGTGGTCCTGTAGTTGCTGTTTGGTAGGCTCACGTGTTTTCTTTTTTTTTTGTTACCACAGAACTCATGGATCTTGAGGTCAAGAAAGGTAGCCATGGAGACAATGTATTCTAATTTTGCGAAGGTTTTGTTCCCCACTTTCCCCAATTGTGAATCTTGGACATGAGTTACCAGCTCCCAGCTTTTCTGAACACAAATTTGGGTGAAATTTTAAAATAATAATAATTCTTCCAGGTCAGGTAGCCCCAAACATGCTTATATTATAACTTGAATGTGTTATGGATTTTCTATTGCTCACATTAGAGCTTCTGAGAGCTGATCTTTACCTGAGGTCTCCAGAAAATTCAGACTTTCCCATTATGACACATTGTGTGCAGTTTGCTTCTGTGCTCAGCCTCCTTTAAGGCCCCATCGCAACAAGGGGACTACAAGTAGCTCCTACAATTCTATACTACCTTTCCTTGAGCTTTTGAAATGAACTACCATCTTAAAGAAAAGAATTAGATGATCGCATTGACAGTTTACAGTTTTCAATGTTTACAGGGAATGAATAAATTTGAACATTATGTATTCAGAAGTATTATTATTATTTTTCAGTTTCGTTATATACATCTTTCATAACTATTCATGAACTGCTTGTTTGCATCTTTGCTTAATCAACCCTGAGTTACTGTTCATCAAGTGGATGAATAATTTTGCAGATTACATTACATGAAATGAAGAGCCTCTGGTTAATGACAAGTCCTGTGCTTTCGCGGTTGAAAAGATGCGGTCCTCACCATACAGCCACTGGTCCAGGGTGGTATCGGCAGTGCATTTCATGAGGGGCAGGAACTCCGAGTTCAAGAGGAGGCCTTTCCCCTGTGGTGCTCTCAGCCTCTCCTGCAGGACCCTGCAGCTGCAGAATTCTAGAACCAGCTTGATCTGCCAAAGGTCAAAGGTCTCACAGGCTTCCTTCTTCTGCAGTCTTTTGACTGCCTGGAACGAGAGTGTGCCATCATATCACGACGAGCGATCTCACAGCACTCTGCTCAGGGCAACTACAGAAGCTAGAGGAATGGACTTGAGCAGTCTGTTTTCCTGGGTCTCAGTGGTATAGTTTTGAAATCAGGCTTTCTTTCTATGCCTGCACTTGGCAATAATTGCATCAAGGTAGGTTTTCCAGCAGAAGATTGTCATTAAATCTACTTTCAAAATTACCGAGTGTCAAAGAGTCAGCTGATATTCATTATCTATATACTGTAACCACCTTTTAAAGACTTTGTCTCAGTTTTTGAATGAGGCAGAAAAAGTCTTCAAATCTACTGCTATATCTAGGTAAGTAATAACCATAATAGCTAGCAATTATGGAAGACATGTATTTCTGGCAATAAGTGTCAAGTTAAAAATCTCCATTTTACATTTTACAGTATTTACAAAGAGTGGCCCCTTATTATACAGGAATGTAGGGAAACTTTACCAAAGAAAGAGTCATTAACACATTGATGGTGAAGTACTGGAAACTTTCTTCATTTCAAATCCTTATGAGTTTATGACTAAGAAACTCACCTGATCTATTGCAATGTAGGTTGGTAACATTTCTGGATTCTCTTGGGTAACACATTCATAGAGAATTGCAGAAAATAAAGCCAGGACATCTTTTTTCTAGAAGATAAAGGCCAGTTCAAATATCGACTTAAGCTTGTCCAGGGCCAGAAAAAAAAAAACAGTAGCATGGACATTCACAGTGAATGCAGAAAATAAGCCATTCGTTTCATTCTTGATTTACTATTAAATCACATTGATGTTTTTTCCTTCAAAGTCCAATAGACAGCCTAAAAACCAACTAAAATCGAGTCTGAAGTACAAAAGAAAAACTTCTGAATTTTCTCATGCTTATATAAAATGTTACACATATAAATATATACACAGAAATAGGGCTTTGTACTATTCAAAAATGGCAATTTCCACCCAATGTACTTACATGCTTCAGGTTTTCAGCTGGTTTGCAGAAATATTCCGCAAATGAAACCAAGGCAGCGTCCGACGTAAAGGCTGAGATTGCTTCAGGCTGTTAGAAAGGTATTTCAGGGTTGTTTCAAAGTTACAAATTCATATAATCTGAACACACGTTGGCCAAACCAATTTTTAACCGACTCGCCATCATAAGATAATGCACTGAATGTTTGCTTGCTGGATATTTGCTTCATTTTTCACTACTGCGATAGCATAGTATTATCATGAGGGCCGTGGCACACAAGGAAAGGACAGTCTAGCTGCCCACAGGGAGTACGAATGGAAAATTGAGCACAGGAGGGACTTCTTTACACAAAGGGTTGTGGGAGTATGCAACAAGCTGCCCAACCATGTTGTCAATGTTGACACACTGGCTACTTTCAAGAAAAGGTTGGATGAGCCTCTGATCAATTAACTACTAATTAATTAATGGGCTAGATGGGATGAAAGCCTCACTCCCATTTTCAAACTTTGTTTCAAGGTGACAACTGCAGAGCACTGCTTGACACTCCTGGTGGCTGTAATTTAATGCTACAGCACACGTAGGAACCACGTGGAACAAGTGGCCTGTAAGCTCCACTTGAGCTTTGAAAGGGTGCCAACAGAGCCAGAGCCAAGCTGTTTGTTAGTTTGCAGCAACACTGCTTTTGGATTGCACATTTAAATTTACTGTGGGGAAGAGTTTTTGTAAATTCTGAAAATAATTTGGTAAATATATAATCTGCACCACTGTATTTTAAAAATACAGGACAAGTGTACAATATCTTGAATTATGCATTTTCATAATTGCTGCAAAGATGTCTAGATATAAAAGCAAAAACTGGTATTAAGAAAAGCCCTCAATGATCACAAAACACTGTTTCATAAAAAATTACTTTTTGCAATGCTACCCTTTTTCCTCATCAGCTTCGTTTTTGTGAAAGCCTGATCAGATACAATGCAAACTGTGCAACTCACTTGCATTGACCTCAAGCATATACTTTCTCTGAATTTTAATATTTTGTCAAACACGTTCGAAACACAATTTTCACTGAAATGCATGTTCACACAGACTAACTATACAGAGAAAAGGAAGGTGGGTTAGCAAAGTTACAACCTAAGAAAATATGCAGTTTATTTTTATTTTGCAAGGTTTTACCAATCAATGGCTATTTTTGAAACATTCCACAATGACAGCTGAGTGAGTAAAATCTGTATCTGTCTTACAGATAACTCACTGGTGGCATGGGATATTTTTCTGTGGTTTAAAGTAATACTTATTGATAAATTTCCAGGCAACTAGATCCTGATCAGTTTTTAAATGCAAATGTATTTCTTTTGTGAAAAGCTTATTTCAATCTTCAATGTAAGATCTTCTACGACCAGCAAGCCTCTGCAGTCATAAACACTTTGTTCACTGACTTAACTCACTACATCCAGAAGCTATGAACTAAAATAAGCGTATATTTTATTGTTTAGCTCCCCATTTCATCACTTATTGGTTTTTCACCAGTGGTCCTTAATGATAGGATTAAGGAGAAAAAAAAGATTTTTCTGGAGTTGCAATGCGCATAACCAAGTCTCATGTCTGCCTCACCCACAAGAAAGGCTTTGATATAAACCTGCCTGGAAACAAGTCAAACACCCATGGAAAAACACCCTTACCTTAAAGGAGTGCACCTCGGGGTTCCTTGGATTGACATTCTGTGCCAGCAGGCTCTGCCAGCCTCTGGGGTCGTCCTTGTATGGAAGCTGTCCTGCCCGCAGTTTAACGTACAGCATGCCATCTCGAGAGAGGATGGACCTAAACACAGATCTCAGATTTCTCATTCCGCTCACGAATCTTCACTTAAACTCCCTGAAACATCTCACCTTCACAGTTACTGCACTTAGCTGCCCAGTTGCCAGCTCATCACAGCGCTTTAGCAAAGCAACTCTGACTGATTTGATAACACGCCGCGGTTTCGATTAGTTTTTCAGGCAGGCGAGAAAGTAAACGGGTTAACAGCTGACACCAGGGTAGGCTTCTATTAATGGCGATTGTGGTGGACAGACATCGCGGAAACAATGAAATTGTGCATCTCTAATGAGTTCAACCAGTCCAGCAGCTGCAAAGCAGGAACTGCCAAGAGTTCCTCTGCCCTGGTGTACAGCGATCATTGTGTTCCCGGGACGAGATGGCCATTTTATCCCTATCCGTGTTGATCCAGACTAACTCCAGTCTGCTATTTAAGGGCATCATTTGGCTTTCTATGTTCCACCGGAACAAATGCTCCACCAGCTTAATGAAGTGGGATTTTTCTACAGGTCTTAGATGGTACACACAAATTCACCTGTTTGAATATCGATGACGCAATACTTACTGCAAATGCTGAGTTCCTTTGTTTAGATCTATGGATATCTCCCAGTATCTTGGTCCTTTCACTTTAAGCTGCAATGACAAATACGTTTCAATGAGATTTAACTCTTTACTCTTGGAAAAAGCAGCTAGAGACTTGTACAGAGCAGTAGGAAACAGATTTGAAGGAAGCAGTGAGCAAACACATTTCCCTCCTCTTCCTTTCAAATCGGGACAGGCCCCAAGCTGTGCTGCTTGTTTTGGTTTTTTCTTTTGACCCCCCTCGTGTTCTGTACCTGCTTCAGGAGGTGCAGTTCTGGCAACATTGCTGGGGCCATGAGCTCCACTGTGGTCTCCTCGTACCACTGCGACTCCTTTGCAAAAACGACAAAGGAAAACCAAGAGGAGACGTGAAACCCAGAGCAACAAGCGGACAGTCAACATTCAACAGAGGCTCTGTGGAAAGACTAATATTTCTAGCTAAGCAATCCTATTTAAGATAAAAATTACATAAAAAGTCAGGGCTACAAGCCTTACAAAGAGCTTGCTTTGCCACAGGCCCATCTAGAAAGATCTTAATTTTTTTTAATAAGCCTCACTGAGACAAACAGAGTAATCGGATGAACAGAGCGAGGAGGAAATGGACCTTAATATTATCAAACGCCTGCACGAGGTGGCAGTGATTCACCCCGAAAGGCTACAGGAGGGTCGGTACCTTGTAGGTGACCTCCAGCAGGGCGTAGCAGGGCTTGCTGGTGTCCACGTCCACAGGGACCAGCAGCCGCGGCTCCACGGCCAGCACACAGAGGTGCCTGAGGGCCTGGAGGTGGTACCTATGGGGGAGAGGGAGGGTGGCGTTAGAGTCCCTGTAGTGGCCGTCCCTCTGCCAGGGAAGATCGTGCCGCCAGCAGAGATAAATTGCTCCACACCTGATGGAGTCTGAGGTCAGGCTTGAGCAGATGCGTCCCGACGCCATGACCCACAACTCGGCTCTCCCATCTTTTTTCTATAAAAAATTATGGACCTTTTTTTTGTTTGTTTGGACTTTTCAACAAAATATGGAACTGATCTCTTAACATAAAAAGCTCTCCGAGTACCACTGGGTTGGGCTGGGCAGGGCATTAGTCGGCAAGTGTCCTCTTGACTGGCAGAGATGTCAGTGAGAGACAGGCCGCTCCTCCCGTTAGCACTCACTGCCCTGCCTGGCACTGTGGGCACAAGTGGAAACTATGTGGACATGCATTTGAAACGGAGAACAATGAGCTACAAACAACCCAACGGGCTAGACGGACCAAAAGGCGTCTCGTTTCTAACCCTTCTCGGGTTCTTACAGACAGGAAAGGCGCTCGCCTCAGCGCGGGCTGAGCCCTGCTATCCAGGGGTTCAGGTACGAGACTCATCCTGCCCACGTGCTGGCACAGGCGCCGCTGTCGTGAGCCCGAGAGGAAACAAATACACGACTGGGTCTCCAAACCGGGTGGGAGAACTACCCAAACAAATCGGTACTTTTCTGTTTAAAAGCCGATGGACACTTCCGACAGACGAACGTGCCAGAGGAGCATTCCTTTGCAGTGAGAGAAGCCTGGAAACAACTCACAATTCCAAACTGGCTGTGTGTGTGTGATAAAAACAGGCAAGTCTGAATAATAAAAAACATTAAACATGCAGGTCTGGGGTTTGCTAGTATATCATAGTTCGTGAGGAAGAACAGTATTCCAAAGTACAACCGAAAACTACCGCAAACAAGATCTGCTGGGAAAGCACCACCAAGAAGAGCAGCCGCAGTATCTGGCCGGCTTACCTGTTGTCAGTGCTGTGGGCCGGGAAGTGGGGATACAGAGCACACAGCAGGGCGGCGATGGCCGAGTTGGAGGTGCTGAGGGTGTACCTGTGAAATGTCCAAACTGACATGAGCCTAGGGCAGGTGGATTTATTAACATTTGGTTCGGAAGACTTTTTGATCAAAATAAGCCAATTTAAGGGCTTAAATGAGAGCTAGTGTTAGTGCACATGTTTTGAGCTGGATAGGGAAACAAGTCTTACTGAAATCTGAAACATTTGGGCAATTCAGGTGCAAGTCCGGCTTGGTTCAGTATAATGTTGTAAGTTTTGGGACAATCAGAGTAGCAGTTACTAAGACAGCAGTGGTTTTAGGTTTGAAAACCTAAATGCTATTAATGTATAAACTCTACTTGGCCATAGTGTAACATAACCAAACAATCACAGAATACCATGCTTGGAACTAATCGGCCAAACACTTTTTTTCCCCGGCAAAGGTTTGCACAAGAACAAGAGAACAAAATGGCGGTCAGGTGGCCATCTTGGATTCCATGCAGTGGAACTGCGTCGTCACTAGAATGACAACTGCCAATCAGGAGCCTACTGCATAAACAGTCATGCAGGAGCAGTTTGTGCTCGCTTTAGAGAGAGGCCATGTTTCTTCAAGCGCTTGAGCTTTTTTTATTCCACCAGGAAAGAGAACAAATTCTCACGCACAACAACAACCTGGAGGCTCCTTTACAGCAGGACACTTAATGGGGACAATCTGAGTGAGGAGTCCTGCCCATGGGATGCCACAGGGGACTGGAGCTCCCAGTGGCTCCTTTTTCCACTCTGATACACAGTATGTTCGCTAATCGAAAACCACTACTTAATACAGTCGCACTTTGTGAGCCAAGACAGCCAGCTGACTCAACCTGCCTGTGTCTGGGGAGAGGCTGCACCAGCTGAACCAACACCTGGCAGATCTCACTGGGAGAGGTACACACTGCTGGCTGCATTCGCTCAGTTAGAATAACGGAGCACATCTGGGCGGATGAATGAAGAGCAAAGTTACTCTCTAAAGCGAAATCTTGAAAAGACTAAAAATGCACATTTTGGGGAAACGAGTGACTGCACTACGACTATACACTAAAAATGTATGTGGAAAAAAAGGAAAATGAACTCGCACCACAATGATGTGACATAAGAAGACCTTTTCAGAAAATGTCAAACTGTTCAATAAGTGTACTTTAGCACCTATTTTACAACTGACATGGGTTCCCCCTGTGTGCTGAAGGCAGACTCATGGAGCTGAACAGCAGCACACATTAGTGCCACAAAACAAATGGCAACTGGCACTGCCAAGCTAATGTTCAATCTTGCTGGGATTTTCTCAGCGGTTCCCAAAGTTCAACACGTCCAGAATGAATAGATTTGTTAAAAATTCCAGGGCTAGACAGCATGGCCCCAGTGGGCTTCCTTTTAGGAGAAGTGATATAACACTGGTTAAAACTTAATATCTCAGTTTCCTGCCTTCTGGAAATGTACTCTCAACCAAAAGGCATTTCAGCAAAAAAAAAATGAATGAATGTAGCAGGCATAAGAGAATTCCTATCGTAGCTTAGACAGAGCAAGAGTTGTTTCCCTATGTACGAGCCTTAAGATAATCAGTCCCAGTGACTTCTGACCAGACAGAAAACTGATTTTATTATCCCCACTTGACGTGGAAAACAAAATCAACAATTTTAAATAAAATTCTTCCCGGAGGACCAGGACTAATTTAACCTCAGTTATTAATTCTACATTTTATCTAGAGAGGCCTCCTCAGCTCCACTGTAACTGGGGATCATCATGACTGCGATGTAGGACCTGCCATCATCGGTACTCTGAGCATAGCTCACTCTGACATCTGACATGGCTTCACCACGGTGAGGTTTCTTCCATGATCTTCAGCAGCTGTCATCTTTACAAATGCTTTGGCAGCCGACAAGGAATAGGAAGGGCTCCAGCACTTGCCTTCCACCCCCCAGGAAGAGGAGGCCCAGGGCCATGTGGTGGGCCATGTGGAAGCCATAGTTCATCTCCCCACTGGTCTTCTTGTGCAGGAAGCGGCAGAGCTGGAGCACTTTGAGATTCCCCGAGCCGGCCATCACCATGGAGAGCGACAGCAGCACCATGCTCAGACACGTCTGCAGGTTATAGTGACCCGTCTGCGGCGAGAGGAACTGTTCAAACAAGCGATACCAGCAGCCGATAACGCTGAAGAGCGGGAATCATATTTCAATCCCCAGAAAGCTCTGATAAAGCCTCTTCAAGGTTAAACCTCAAATTAAAAGCCCCTAAAAATCTAAGATCATATAAGCATTTGGATGGAGAGCTGTTAATTGAAAAAGGAAACTGCACATCATCTTAATGCGTCAGTAAGAACCCACTTAGAATACTGATTTCACATTGGTCACCAAACCACAAACACAAGTCGACTGCCTTAGAAAGAGCTCAGAGATGAGTGACAAGAGTGGTTTCTTTTATTAGTGGATTGTCATATAAAACTGGTCAAAGAAACTTCTCTTTCTAGAATAAAGGACACGGAGAGGATTTGATACAAGCATATATCTTGCCTACTTCCAAGTATTAACTCATGACTGTACTTCTGACTCAGCAGAGAAACGAGGATGGAGGGTCACAACCCAGGGATTATAAAGTGAATTAATTTAGAAAAGAAAAAAAAGAGAAAAATAGTTTGTTATAAAAAAGTTGTGTGGGTTTGGAGCAGGCTTCCCAGATTAATGTCCATACTCTGGGCTCCTTCAAGACGTGGCTGGATGTCATTTTATAATAAGAAAATATATTCAATTCCATTTTGTTTATATAGCACCTTTCACAACAAGTTTGCCCCAAGGCGCTTTACAATGCAAGTGACCGTACGTGTAGTCAATACAGAACAGAAAAGACCAGAAGACAACGGAGGAGAGGAACCAAAAACTCCTTAGTAAGGAGAACAAAAACCTCTGGGGGTCCAAGGTCAACTGGCTGCCCAACCCCTTTGGGCATGCTAACATTAAACAATTAAAAAACGAAATACATGAATAGGGGTATTAATCCATCCATCATGTCTCCTGTATGTCAGTACTCCATGCAGATCTCTGTAGACCAGCAAAATCCTCCTAAACGATAGCTATATCCACAATGTAATATATATATATAACACTTTGAAACTTAAAATGCAAGAGGCAATAAACGACCCCCCACTCATTTTCACCCTGTCTCCTTATTTAGTGACAAAAAATCACAAAACATTAGGTATACGCTCCCGAATGGTATTTCTGTATATCACTGCAGTCTGTAAGGCCATATTCAAAGACATAAAAACAGCATAAAAAGCGAAACTTACAACTGAAGCCGCCGAAGTCGACAAACACTGCATGAAGGTCCTTGCAAACTTGTACTGGAAGACAGTGCCAGAAAGGGGTGTCAATAATAATAATAATAATAATAATAATAATAATAATAATAATAATAATAATAATAATGTTGCAGATTGAAACAGTGTCAACTTCATCTCCTGAAGAGCAGCAGGATCTGCCCAGACCCATCCTACACCCTCTGCCTTCAGGCTGTCAAATCCTTTCACTCAAAGGGGAAGAAAACGAAGACCTGCGGTCAAACCAGAGGTTTACAGCCGCAGCCTGCCAAGCAGAACCTACAAGGAGATCATTAGGACTGGGTGTTTAAGAGGGATGGGAAAACATGCCGCGTGCTGGACCCCTGGGCAGAACTCCTTACCAAGCAGTCGAACGCATCTGAATTAGCAGATCCTGCAAACCGGAAGCCTACTGCCATACATGCCCCTGCAATGATGTAATCATGGGCTTGCCTAAGGAAAAGACAAGATAGTGTTGAAGCAGATATAAAAAAAGTAAATGCTTAGTAAAATAAGGAATTCATTTCTGTTACACAGATCTCTTCCTCTAAGAGTAAGACCTTTTAGTTAAGGCATACTTTGAAAATAGTTTCTCTATCCCTTCGTCTTCCTCTGCTGTGGCAAAGGTCAGTTTGTAGCCCCACATGACACAACACAAGATGTGAAATATCACGTCCTGCCCATTCCTCTGCCCCGGTTTCCCTCCATGAACTGTGATGAAGTCTGCACTTACACCAGCGTTTCCATATTCAAGTCCTCTGAAGCTGGTCTGTCGTCACTTAATTCAATGTTTTCTTGTATAATCTGGAAACCAGGCATACAAAGAAAAATGCCAGTTAAGTCACAAAAATCTGACTTTAATGAGTAGGCATCCTACTGCCTGTTGTTCTTGAAGAATCTGTTGGGAAGCAAAAGTACTTTCTGTACACATGCTATACATGGAGCCCTGGCCAGCAGTGACCTGGCACTCGAACCCGAAGTCAATAGCTCTGTGTCCTGTATCTGGAGTACTATTACAGACCTCCAGAAAAACCACAAGCTGTACACTGCTGGTGTTTATCATAAAATCATCCTGAAAATTTCTTACGTGTACAGTAAGAAGGAGAATCTAATAACATTACTTACATGCAGGTTTGTCAAGGAAACATTAAGGAGAGAACAAATGCAACCTTTATACATTACTATAAAATACTGCTGTTCCATGCTGCTTCATTTCTATTGTTTAAAACGAATTTCTAGTCCTGCTGCACCTGATCTTTCTTGTTTTTGTGCTACAGATAATAACTGTTTTACATTTCAGGCTACTAACGACACACGCTCCCAAATAACCAAGCTATGAAACTCAAGCCTAAAGGAAATCAGCCTATTACAGACTATAGAAAGGTTAATACAAAAGCAAACAGACACAGGAAATCAGAAACCTGCTAATATTTCCATGATGATATTAGTCCACTACCGTATTCCTCTAAACACTGAACTCTAATTATAGGTTAGCAGAAAGCAATGAAGGTCGCTTCCTCATTAGAAATGCTTTAATTTATTAAGAGACAGTTTAATTATCTCTAAATAAGATTTAAAAGAAGATGGATAAAATAATTAAAATTCCAAATGTTTTGGAGATAAAAGACAACAGAAGTTAATCAACGGAGAGGTACTGCTGTAGGTTTTATTAATGTGGACTGTAGCACTTCTGGTATGGGTGCTTAAGCTGTAAGCGATCAGATGTACTAAGCTTACCCTTTAACTGGGCAGTAAAAAGAGGCGACAGTATCTGTGACACTATTGCCCTACATTCAACCATCACTAAACATGTCCACTGTGGCTGGCCCACTTACTTGGGGAACATTGCTGTTGATCCACTCAGAATTTGGTAAAATCTCCTCCCACATGATAAGACATCGTGCAAGAGTCTGAAAAGATACGAGAGGAGAGGTTTCAGAAATTCAGAATTGTTTTGAAACTGTTCATTCATTCTGTGCATGGGTACCCATCACTCCCCCTCTGATGATACTTTAGTCTTATGAATTCAATGGTAAAATTTTACAGGTAGTTGTTAGCAGGCACTGGATAATCTTACCAATTGTTTCTCTTCTGAGCAACAATTAGTGTTAGTAAACTTACAGAAATCTGCAGCATATACAGTTCAAAATAACTGCATTTCAATGACTGAATTCTCATCAGTGACATCATTACCACACAGAGAGAGATACACAAAGATTCTGAAACATGATGCATCTGCTTTTCACAGAGAGCAATAACACTGCATTCTGAAAGCTGAGAGTGAGCGTGGTCATTCTTTTAACCAATTGTAGTGTTAAAGGCATTATTCTCAACTCTTGTACACGATGACTACAGGAAGCAAAACATTTAACAGCCACCTCATAAAATAGCGAGAGGGAACGGTCACAACTTTATTACTCACCCTCAGCAGCAAAAACTCTGGTTTAATGAAGTCTAGCAGAAACATGGTATCTGGGGCTCGCAGCCAGTCTGCAATAGACCTGTTTGATGATGAGGGTGAGAGGTACTGTCAGGAGCTGCACAGTGTCATGAAAGAAGCTGCAGCTCGTAGACACACTTGTCATAAATCCTGTAAATACTATGAAACACAACACAGCAGCAGGTTTTCTCTTAAGCTCAACAGCAATAAGGAAGTAATGCAATGCCACTGCGCGATACCTACCTGTTATTAGTCTTTAGGTAGATCATCGCAAGAGCAAGCGTTGCACCAGGACAGGTTACGTCCACGTTAATGGTGTCTCCCTCCTGCCGTAAACAGAAACAAGCGTGAGCTGCTGATGTCAGCAGAGCAGGTATCACGACACTCGGTACGGGCACTCGTGCAAGACTGAAATCGAGAAAGCTCTCAAAAACGTGTAGTTGCAAATATTACATTATCAGTGTTAATTTCAGTTCCTGCCGCACTACCAACATTGAACCATGGTGCACCACAGAAAACGCAGCACAGTCTTCTTGAGCTATCATCTCTAAACTCAACAAACACTGGGGTCTTGCAGCTCTGTCACAGCTTACAATGGAAGCACAGATAATACTTTTGGACACAAACTTTACTTGCCAATTCTTTGCACTGAAAAATCTTTATGCACGCCAAGTTTTAAAGATGGGGGTATGTGATGCAACCAAACGAGTTTCTCCTGAGCCTCAAGCCTGACTGTGATAATACCCCAGCATTACGCTTCTCCTGAAAAACACAACCAAACCCTTTCGTCACCCTGTCTTTTTACCTTTATCTGGTAACTCGGGGACTTGTGTTTCTCCCTGTTGATACCGGAATGGGAACGCCTGTGTCCTCCGACCATGTACTGGTAAAGTTGCTCAGGCACATTTAGGTCAGACATGCCTGTCAGGTTACTGCCATGCTGAAAACGATATAGCTTGAAGTTAACGATTTCATGTGGTGGCTCTCCTTCACTCAGGATTCCTACAGGAGGGTCACTCTGATAATACAGCAATCATGACAGCAGGTAAAGGATTAGCTGATTAATGGGCAGTATGGCCTCCTCTTGTTTATCTCTTGAACTATCTGCATCTACTGTTTGAGTATTTTAAAATATCAAATACTCTTACCCCAAGACAGACCATGCCAAGAGCCAAACCCGCCGCCAGAGAGTAGGATTCTCGGTCTGTGCAGTACTCCATCTCTGGCCCGGGAGGACGACCTACAGGCAATTTTGCAAGGCAATTTTTAATGAAGGTTTTTTTAACATTTCTGGAGCAGAAGTGGCTTATAGACCTGGATCATATTCCAGTACCTACAGTTTTAACCATCATGAGCGATGATAAGATAGTTAGCACACCAACAGCAAAGGGACCTACGGTATGTACACAGATGGTCAGACTGGAATTAATTAGGGACCAAAGCATTAGAAAAGAATGAGAATGAATTAAGGTAGCACTCGTGCAAGTGTCTTACAGGGTGCAAGAGCTGAGCTATGAGTCCATCACCCCTGTAATGACAATATTAAGACGGACGTCACTTTTTACAAGAGTGAGAGAAGTATAAAAAAAGAGGCTCGTTAAGTCACTCAAGACTATGCCCAGGAACATTCCAGTTTGCAAGTCCCTCGTCTTTACCGCTGGGCCAACCTGCCACCCTCACGTCAGCCCCCACACTGACCTATCTCCGCCAGGAGGACCTCAGCATTGCGCCGGTGACCGGTCCCCTGGTACACCAGGCCTATTCCCACAACCGCTGCCACCTGGACGTTGTGCGGCACGTCGAGCTCCGTGGATGTGGGCGGCAGCAGGGCCGGAATGTGGATGCTGAGCAGGCGTGTGATGGACATGTCCATGGTCCCCAGCTTGGCCGCAGAGACGCCGAGCACTAGGCCAATGCTGGTCATTTCGTGACCCTGAGGGAGTCACAAGAACGGATCAGGAGAACCAGCTCAGCCCCACGCCCTGCCCTTCTCAATCTGGATCAGGAGAACCA